AGTCCTCGATAATCAACACACATTCGTAAAGATCCATCTTTTTTCTTTACGAATAGAATTGGAGCTCCTGCTGCAGATTTTGAATGGCGTATGAAATTCTTCGCTAAATTCTCGTCAATATATGTCTTGAGTTCAGCCATCTCATCTTGCGATAAACTGTAAATTGGTCCAAATGGTGGCTGAGTTCCTTCCTTGAGGTCGATTGAACAATCATATGGGCGATGCTCAGGAAGAATATCTGCATTCTTTTTCTCAAAAACGTCTTGATACTCCTGATATTGACTTGGAATGCCAATTGAAGTCTTTACGTTTTCAGAAATAGGTGCAGCATAAATAGCAAAAGTTGATCCTTCTTTTGCTGCGTGTATAAATGCTTTTGCACCTATCAGTACGGGTTTTACTACACTAGACTTATAATTTTTTACTTGGTTGGTAGAACTATTAATAACGCTTTGGGAAAAGTCAAGTTTACGCGAATTCCAATCTATTCGAGGGTTATATTTTTCTAGCCAGGATAAACCTAAAATAATTGGATTGGACGGGGATTTAATTATGTTAAAAGCTATGTAGCTATCATGACCATCTATTGTTGCTTTTATAGGATGAGTTTCATGAGTGACATCTCCAGAAGACAAGGGACGACCATCTATGACTTCTACATGTACTGGTTTAGGTTTCTGTACAAAGGATATTTTACGACTTTTAACAAATTGTTCATCTAAAAAACATGCTGAGGCTCCCGAATCTAATAAAGCAGAGGCTTTGTAATTCTTAGGTCCTAAATATAAGTCTATTATAAAACAAGGAGAGGGTTCTGAGGAGAGGATAGGACCTTCATTAGGAATTGTACAAGGTTCCAGCTGCACGGTCCCTATTGTAGCTGGACGAATCCGTTTTCCGACATGTTGTCTTCTTTGACCGTCGTATCTCTCATTTTATAGTTGCGTCGTTTCTTTGGATAATGTTTAGCAGTGTGCTTAGGTTCTCCGCAATATAAACATAATCCTTATTGACGACGACGAATCTTTTCTTGCTCAGTTAGAGGTTTAAAACGTACCGCGTCAATTTGCATGTCTTCTACTTCTGAATGTACGTTTGGCAAAGATGTTGATGTTGCCATTGAGTAATAACGTTGAGGTTCCCGTGAATGATTCTCGGATCGAAATTTGAAAAGTCGATTATCATATTTTACCGCAAAATCGATTGCTTGACTCAAAGTTTGAGGATCAAGTAAGTTGAGCATCAATTTCTTTACTTCGTATTGCAATCCATAAAGAAATTGACTGATGAGTGCAGCATCATCCCACTTGATGTCAATTGCAAGTTGTCAAAATTGTGAAGCATATACTGTTACTGAGCGATTTTCTTGTCGCAGAATTCGGATCTTATTTGTTGCAACACGAGTTGCATCGTGTTCACCATACATAGATCGAAACTCCACCAAAAAAGCTTCCAAATTGTCCAATATTGGATTTCGTTGTTCAAGAAAAGACGAAAACCACGATAATGCAGAACCAGAAAGTAGAGTGCCAATAAACCTGACTTGTGATCCTGGAGTTGGATAGCTTTGCGGTTGAAATTCAATTGCCAATTGTACTTGATTGATGAACCCTCGAAACTTTGATCTCGTACCATCAAATTTCTCAGGTAAGGCAATTCTTGGTTCTCTAGTGCTTATAGGGTGTTGTACAATTGGAGAAGGAACGTGATTTGTTGTAGATGTTGAAGCAGCTCCGATCATCTCTATATCTCCACTTTCTGCTATTCTTGTTCTTTCCTGTGTTGGTGAATTGAGTTGATGCATCGCAAGCATTAACTCCCTCATTTGCTCTTGCATTTGTGCCATTGCACTCTTCATTTCAACAAGCTCTGCCATAATGACACTAAGAAGAAAATTTTGTTTGATATTGCTCAAGACAAAAGAAAAGAAAGACTTGATAACAAAGAAGATACTAAGAACAATATCAATTTAGAAGTGGGTAATCCGCAAACTTCTAATACGCTTATGTCTTGTCAAGAGAAAGGGGTAATCCACTCTTACTCAAGAAAAAACAAAGCTCTGATATTGTAAGTGTACTCTTGTCAATCTGTCAAGGACAAAGACTCGATGAGGGAAAATATACACCAAAAGGCTATCTCGATATAATAAGTCAAAATATAAACAAGTAGGTATATTAAAAGGAAACTGGAATGGCTATTGCCATAAGACAAGAAACTAAAGACTCTTGAACCTGGACTAGAAGCAAGAAAGGAGTTGACAAGAGTGAAGAAGCCTTCACTCTTGTCTCTATATATACTATCTAACTAGGGGCTACGTGGCGACGTTCTATAGGACCTCCAATATGTGTTGACTTTGTAGGACACATGCCTTGACTTACAAGGTAAGTTTTTCTACGTGTGGGCCACATAGTTAGCTTGATCTTCAAGCTAACAACATGTGTGGCACATGGCCAACTTGTTGACCACGTTTCTAATCCAAAAAGTCAATTAAAGATACCTATGAAGTCAAAGCAGCGTCTAGGAAGTTTCTAGGAAGCTTTTATATTAAATATTATAGAATTAACTTACTTTTATCTACTTTTACTTACTTCTACCTATTTCTATATGTAATTATTAGCTTACATGATTATGGCCGTGACACTTATATGTTTAGGTAGAAGTAAGTAAATATAGATTAATTTCATATAGTCTGTTAATGAAGCTTCCTAGAAGCTATATAGATGCGGTTTTGACTTTAGATGTATTTGTAGGTTGGAAACTTGGCCAACAAGTTAATCACGTGTTGGTAGCTTGTGGAACAAATTAACTCCCCATAGTAGCTTGTGAAACAAACTAACCATGTGACGCATACATAGATAACTTGTCTTGCAAGTTAAGACATGTGGCTAGCAGAGTCAACATGTTTTAGAGGTCCTGTAGGACATTACCACATAGCTCTTAGTTAAGAATATATATGGAGGCAAGAATGAAGCCTTCTTCACTCTTGTCAATGCCTTTCTAATCCTTAATCTTGTTTCAAGACTTTCTAGTCTTCTTGTTTTTGGCAATAGCCATTCTAGTTTAATATTACATCACCTTTCGACTGACTTTCTAGTTCTCTTCAATGACACAATTAAAGATTTTCTTTCTTTAAGATTCATGTCCTTGATAAAGAGACAGAAAATTTTCTTCTAAAGATCACATTATGTCCATCATCTGCAAAGATTTTATTTAAGTTGGAGCAAAGATATTTTCAAATAAAGATGGTATTTACAATGACCATTAACAAATCTTAAAGGTAATTATTTAAGAACGTAGAAATAGATTTAAAAATCCTAATATTTGCACATAAACAATTGTATGTTACTCTTTTACAATGCACCTCTTTGAATATGATCAAGATCCTATATTTTAAAAATAATGAACAAAAAAATACTACAATAAATGTAATTTATCTAAAATTTCTTTAAACTTGGTTATTTAATTTTTGTAATAAATAAAAACTATGTTTGCCAATTACAATGAAGTAACATAAATGGTTCCACTATTATGCATATATATATATATATATATATATATATTTTATTCTTAGTCAATATTTCTTTATGAGTGGTCAATTTTTGACCTAGCAACTACAAATTAAACTTTTATACATTTTTTGTGGCCAATAGCATGAATATATTATATTGAAAGCTTATAACTTAAGCTTCCAATATAATAAAAATCCAATATAAAGATAAACAAAGATGTATTTTTAATATGTATGTGTTCTTATTTTGCTAAAAATATAGTGGTAAAGAAACATAGATTTTGATCCAACAAAGACTAATTCTATTATTCTATTTGATTACAATATTTTCTATAAATAATATCAATTCTCTTGCTATCCAAGTTTTGTTTTATCTATAAAGAAAATCATTGTTAAGGTCTATTTGTTTTTTCATCCAATCTACCTTTGTTTTGAAGAATATATTGTAATATTCTATCAAATACATCTAAATTATTATTCTCACATGCATGTCATTCTTTACTTCTGTCTCAAAAACCTTTGCATTTTGTTGGATCCAAATGTTCTATACATAATTTGCATAGCAACAACCAAATAAAATTAAAACATCTATATAAAGAAGAAAATGAAAGTACAAAAATTGCTTGGTCTCTTTGGACTACTCTCTGCAAATTCCAACTTCAATACCCAAAATATCTACATTTTGAATTCTTCTTTGATTGTAATCCCGAAATTTGTAAAAAATAGTTTCATAACTTTGAAATATGAAATCAACATTGGAAAAAATATACTGAAGTAAATTTGAGCCCTCCATGCATTTACCATTGGCCTTACACAAAGTTTGGTCCATATATTTGGATTGCACTTATTCCTTGTAGTTGAAAGATTATTGTAGAAAATGTCTGTCATTTGTTTTAGGAACTGTGTAGTCCAACCCACTCAATTGTTTTAGGAAGCTGCAATCCTGCATACAAAAGTACATTGTGCAAGATTCACGACAACCTAAATAGAAGATTGACGAAATTCATCAAAATATTCACTCTTGTGATCTGAGAGGGACTCCAGTGTCAGAGCGCATCTCAAGTCTGCTGGAATTTGTACACGGAAGAGATGATCCACCAGACTGACCAAATGCTACGCAATCACCACCAAATTAGGCCATCGTGAAATTAAAAGATCGTTGTCAAATCTAATTCAAGACGTGTGTTCCAGCACAAAATCCACCGCGCATTGTACATGTATGGATTGAGTCAGTGCACGGTATGGAGACCACCGATGAGAGCTACAGCACCAGACCATGTAATACTAGAGACTCGACCACATGGATGAAGCAAGGCTTTTCGTTAAATAATTATACAGAAGGCAAAGATCATTAACATAGAATACTTAGTATCAAGCACTTCAACCAACAGACAATAGACCAGATTTATTCATCCATGGAGTCACTGCGATCCGGTAAATGAATTAAATCGATGAACTTTGGAACCTCGATGCACAAATAAACTACAGTACCTCAGTCAAAAGAACCTGCAAGGGCTTGCAAGCAAACTTCATTCGACGTCAATAATGAGTACAAAAAATTGCTCCATTCTAGATGTGAACTTCGTGGGAATACATAAATGCCTCAGATGTAAATTCGGTAGCTTATCCACCTCAGATTGATTCTCGGAGAACTGAAGGAGCAAGAAGCTCAACAGATAGTGAGACAATACATACACTCTTACAGCTGCAACCGCGCACTCAAAAAATTCCACAAAGGTGGCACATGCAGTTGCTGCATTGTCAATGTCAGTCGCATTACCTACACAGAGAATTCATGAGTAATATTCCTATGTATTGCACATTATCGGCACGATTTCACACACATGTAGTGAGCACACCCATTTATCTATTCACAAACCATCTCCAGATAAACCTGGCAGGTCGTGGGAAGCTGCTTGACAATCAGACATGTTTTACCCCTGCACAACGAAGCATGGGATATCAGACACACAATATGAGATGACAAACCAAGTGCAACACAACATAACATCGCAATGCATGTTATACAAGCAAAGCAATATATAGAGTCCAAAGAGAGATTCAAGCTACATGATTGCAATTGTCGAAATACATGGTGTAAAAAAGGCAAACAAGCTTGGCAAATGCGAAAAAACCATAAGTTTGTGTGAAAAGTATTCAGAACCCTAAAACCTGATACAATGATAAACTCTAATGCAAAACCACAAATACCAAAATAAATAAATAATAAAAAGGTACTATTAAAACCTACCAGCAGTCATTAACCATGCTTTCCGACTTCTGTGGATACTGATCATACACAAGAAGACATGCGAATGCTTCTAGGATTGGTAAATCATCTAAACATTGAAGCTCGACGTAGCCATATTGCAGATTCCACAGCTCACAGTTTCAGATAAGATCAGATAAAACAGTCTCAGTGTTTACGAAGTTACACTCTGTAACTGATATCTTCACAAAACGTACATACCTGCCAAGACGCACGTCGAAGAAATGGAAGAATGCTGAGCGCAAGATCGACCCAACAGATTACACCATAGCTTCATAAAAAGAAGTGAATGTGCCAGAAAACTCGAACAGCGGCGATGATACTATCTTGCACTCGCTACTCCTCTGCGGTGACATGTAACTCAGGCTCAACTCTCGTCACCTCCTTACAGATACAAATTGAGGAACCTCTTGTTCTCGAGACGACATGTTCTTGCCTGTATTGGTGCCAACTATGGACCGTGGGCGCCTAACTTGGCGAGGCCATCCAGGCATCCGTCGAGGGCCGAACACATCAACCCCTTCGAGTGACAAAGCCTCCAGATTGCGCCTGCTTTCACTGTCCTGCACTTCGCAAAATCCCTTCCTGGGGAAACCAACAATGGCCTGAGGACCACTCCATCTCTCCGTTCGATCCAAAGCCAGAATAGGAGGTGGCTTGACAACAACCCCACCTCGTTTGTTCACGATTTCATCCACCCCAGACGATTCCGTGCCCAACCAAACACCCATGTGCCGAATTCTACCTCCAGATTGCCGTCGACCATTGTCTCCGTCGCCATAAGTAACCGCCCCCTCCATCATACCATTCGGTGCAGCCAAAGAACCCACAAGTCCCCTACCAGGGCTCTCACGCCCGTTAGGAATTCCCAGGCCGGCCATTCCTTGGTGATTCGCCACATGGGAGACCATAAGATTACTCGCCCTGCTTGGATGGTACTGAGGTCGACTCATCACACTAGTCGACGAATTGTTGGGGTCAGCGTGATCATTAGCAAGCAGATGAGCTCCGTCTTTCTCCACGCCCGCAACGGCAGGCAGTAAGCGCAAACGGAAGCTCGGATGCTTCACGGTACGAACTCCCTGCCACAACCACTTCGGTATGACGGGCGGTACCTCGATCTCCCCCCGAAACGACTCCACAAATTGCGACTCCTCTCGCGAAATCTCCCCGTCTTTCTCAAACTGGCAAAACTCGGCAGTGGAAGTAGACAGATTCCAGCTCTGCAGCTTGCGAAAACACATGACCACCAAGCCCGTGACATGCGTCCCATCTAGGCAGTGTACATACACAGGCAGATTCTCCGGGCGAATGATAATCTGCAACACCTGAATAACCTTCGCGTTCGTCAGCGTGACTCCATCCTGAAACTTTTCGACAAAGAAGTTGTGCACCGTGATCCCCTCGTGCTCACAAAACTCGCGCATGTCGCGATTAGGGTGAGCCTCGGGAGTAAGCGACACCAGCGTCTTGAGATGCAGCCTGCGCAAAAACCTGAAGTTCTTTATGGTTGGGTAGGCACCTCGGAAGAAAGAATCCTCCACTATGGCATGGCGAAACGGCGGTATGAGCTGCCTCTGCAACGCCATTGCCACCACCACCCTCCCCCCGCTGCGTCGAGTCTACGGCCGCGGCCTCCGCCTCGACCTCCACCTCTGCCCACCAACCAAAGTTCAGCACCCTTGCACACGACGTAGACGTCATATCTCGGTTGATGTTATTGTTCTTCCCCCAACCTCCGTCCGGGTATGCATCTCTCCAGGTGATGTGCGACTTCCCCCAACCTCCGTCCGGGTATGCATCTCTCCAGGTGATGTGCGACTTCCCCCAACCCCAACTGACACCCACACAGCACACTCCAACCCATTCTAAATTTACACTACACGCTATTTCAGAGGCACGCTATTGTATGGTGCCTTCTGTAAATACATGTACCCATCCCATCTACAGAAGATAGTTCACTCATGGTGCGAACATGGTGTCGCATTTTCTATCCATAAAATGAAGAGAACTGGATGAAATAGTATTCAATAAGTAGACAATATTGTACATTGTTTGTAGACACTTATGTATGTGCACTCATATTTTTAAATCAAGTGGTTAGAAAAAGAATAGTAAAATTGAAGCAAAGCAACGTCTAACCATTGAGAAGGACAAAGTCATCCTATGGCTTGATTTAATGCACTGTTAAGATTTAACGAATGTATTTATGCAAATAAATAAATAAATAAATTAATTAATTAATTAATTAATTAAATTTATAATAGAAATAAAATTGTAAATAAAATTAAAAAATGTAACAAATATTAAATCTACTAATATCTACATATTTCAAGACTTGTAGAATAATTTTTGTAATAGTCAGATTTCTAAATGACCACAAAGTAGATTGGAGGCCAAATTTTGATTTGATTTCTTTTAGTAAATATTTTCTTATAATTTAAAATCTCATGATTGACATTGAAATTTCATGCATCACCAATATCAACCATGAGAGTACTACTTCTATATCTATAGAAGAAGTCCAGAGTCTACATCAAAAAGTTGTATAGTTGAGGAAAACAAGTTGATTAGTCTCACTATTAAATTCAAGGGGTCTTGCTTCTACAAGTTCAAGAGAGGTAAGAATAAATATGCTTGAGAAGTTTGATGGAACAAGATCAAAATTTTGAGGGTTTTACAATAAATTAAACTCTACCTAAGGTTACAACCTTCCCAATATGCGGATAGATTTACTCAAGTCAACTTCATAAGCACACTTTTATTTGGAAGTATTCTTTCTTAGTTTGCACCTTTGATGGAAAAATATTAAAGACTTCTTTATAAAGCTTAAATTCATTCTTAGAAAAGTTTATGGCTACATTTAGAGAAAGTGATCAAGAATAAGTAATAGAGACTAAATTCTTATCTTTACAATAAGGATCAAGATTAGGCACCACATATACTGCTGAATTCCAAAACCTTGCTTGTAAAGTTGTTGGAATAGAGAGGGTTTGCTTCAAAAAAACACTAAGTTCTTGGCTACTATAAATTGCTCAATAAGGGCTTGAGATAAGAAAGATCAAATTTATATGTATATATATATATATATATATATATATATATATATGTATATATCTATATATATATATATATATATATATATATATAATACTTTTAGGAGTAATTATTCCAAATATATATTAATCTTAAGTTTTCCAAAAACACCCAAAATATGATAAAAAAATCTAATCCTTATATATCCTTATAGGGTCTTACTCTTGAACTTCAACAACTCATATCTTTCAATCAGACCATTCAAAAGTATTCAAATTTAACATAAAGTACTAATATATTTTTAAAAAATATTATAACAAATTTCAATTACAAATTCAATGCGGATCTTACGATATCACCAAAATCCTAACAATAGCTTCAAATCCTAGTTTTTATACATCTACATGTAATTTTCTTCATATCTCACAAATTAAGCACTTAAATGCCAAAAAGTTTGTATGTATAGCTTCTTCAGATAATAATCTACCTTTTTCAAAAGGTTTAAGCTAAAAAATCATCTAAAAACTTAAGATATGGCTCCAACCATTAGTATGAACAAAATCACTTACTCACTACCTTTGATTTAAATGTGCTAACTTCAAATCTCTATAATTTCTTCATTCAAATTCCAAATTAATCAAATAATATATAAAAATTATATTTAAGAAAGTGCTTTCTCCAATTCCACTTGCCGATCCTTTGTTGCTCTTAGTAAATGTATATTATATCCCATTGAGTGACAATAGATATGAAATTTATACCTTAACTTTGAGCACTACTAACTCCTTCGAATCAACTACAAATCATACCAAATTTGGATCCAATCTATATCCAAAAACCTAAATTTACTGATTCTAGCCTCCAAAGCTCAAATGACCTCAAAAGAGAAACCCTAATTCTTAATAAGACCTCGAGCAGCCTCCTTGAACTCCATTGAATATGGCCTTCAACCAATATGAATGAAGATCCCCATTCCTTGTCTTTATGCAACCATGTCTTACTCTCATCCCTCCCAATAAGTCTCCTATTAGTTAATATTTTCATCTTTAGGTGCTAATCTCTTCTCAAGGCTTCAAACTAAATGTTTAGGTCTTATAATTTTTTTAAATGCTATAATCAAAATAGATAAAACTCAAAATAAAGTTTCTTATATCTACTCTCCTTAAATACATCTATTAACCATTCTAACATACAATAAGACTTATGAACATATTATATGTTTTAATCATTTTTTACATAATAAAAATAATTATTATATAACAACATTGACTACAATGACAAAGCACTTATTAATAAATTTTGATATAGATTGAAGGATAGCATCAAAGATCTATTATTAACAATGCCAAAAGAAAAATCTTTGAAACAATTTATTTTTCAAGCCATTGCATGTGACAATCAATTATTTGAAAGGCGTCAAGAACAACAACTTGGCATGAGACGAACAAATCAAGTAATGGCAATAGCTCCCAAGTTTTCTGAAATATATTCATCAAGATTAGAACTAAGGCAAATTCATATGATATATTTTAAACCTCTCACAAAGTAAAAAAAGACTCGATTTTGTAAAGAAGATTTTGTCAAAAATCAAAAAATATATTTAGTCAAGAAAAATAAACTCGTGTATGTAGAAGTCATAGATGGTTGTTTGTTATCTTTTGGAAATATTATCCATGAGACTATTCCTTTAGATGTAACAATTAAAGATCATAACAACATAGTAGTATTTAGTGTAATAAAATCTCCCACCAATCTAGTTATTTTACGATTATTGTAGCTAGAAAAATATAATCTTCAAATAAATTGGATTTCATATAACCTTAATTTTTTTAGTAGTATAATCCAAGATTGCATTACTAAAGTAGAAGTATATAAGTCTAATACATCCAAACTTTTACTAGTAGATGCAAGACCTTTCATGCATGCTACAAAAGAAAGATCATCTTTTGCTATATATACTACATCCATTTTTAATAGTAAAAAAATATCAAGTGATATTCCTAATCAATATCAAGAATTGCAAGACGTTTTTGAAAAGAAGAACATAGATATTCTTCTAGAGCATCAAAATTATGATTGTTCAATTAATCTACAAGGAACTCAACTACCATTTGGACCAATCTATAGCTTATTGTAGAATGAGTTGGTTGCATTAAAGGAATATATTGATGTGAGCTTAGCAAAGAACTTCATATGCCATTCTAAATCTTCAGCCGGGGCTCCTATCTTATTTGTGAAGAAAAAAGATAAATCTCTACAGATGTGTGGATTATCAAGGACTCAATATGATCACCATCAAAAATAGGTATCCTTTGTCTTTGATTTCAAGACTTCTTGAATAACTCAATCAAGCAAAGATCTATACGAAAATAGATCTATGAAGAGCATACAACTTAATTCATATCAAAGAAGGAGATGAATGGAAGATTATTTTTTGAACTAGTTATGAACATTTTGAATATAATATCATGCCTTTTGGACTCACAAATGTACTAATTGCTTTTCAATATCTTATGAATGATATTTTTTGTGAGTTTTTAGATGATTTTGTTGTTTGCTATTTAAAAGACATTCTAATCTACTCTAAGAATATAGAAGAATATGAACTCCATGTTCATCGTGTGTTACAAAAACTTAGAGATATAAGATTATATGTCAAGTTAGAAAAGTGTGTATTCCACACTATTCAAGTTGACTTTTTAGGATACATAATTTCTAATGAAGGCCTTATGATAGATTCCAAGAAGGTCCAAACTATCATAGATTGAAATATTTTAAAAACAGTATGAAATGTACAATGCTTTTTGGGCTTTGTTAATTAGTATCGAATCTTTATCAAGAATTTTTTTCAAGTTACAGCTCTACTTACATATTTGACTTGTAAAGACAATCTTAAGTAGAATAAAGAAGTAGAAGTATCATTTGATGCTTTAAAGAAGGAGATTACTTTTGTACCAACTTTATATTGTGTCGACTTTTTTAAGAATTTTTTTTTATGAAAATAGATGCATCAAATTTTGCCTTGAGTGCAGTATTATCACAATTAGAAATAAATGATAAATTCTATTCATTAGCTTTTTATTTGAAGAATACTTTAGCAATTGAAATTAAGTGTGAGATCCATGACAAAAAACTTCTTGTAATTATGGATTAATTTCAAGAATGGCATCATTATCTAGAAGGCACTTTAAGTCTAGTCACTATATATACAGATCACAAGCACCTCGAATATTTCATATCTGCACATATTTTGAATCCTCACCAAACTCATAAGAACATGTCATTATCAAGATTTGATTTCAAGATCACATATTAATCTAAAAAATAATAAGGTTTATTGAATGTTCTTTCTAAATGTTCTTATCTTGTACCAAAAGAAGTAAATGCATCTTTTGATCAACAAAGAACAATTCTCTTGAAGCTAGAGTATTTTCATCTTCAAGCAATAAAATCAACATTGATTGTTGATTTGACCTTTATCAAACAAATTCAATCAAGTATGTCATCTGATTCTCTTATTTATGATATCAAGAATCTTGTTTTTAAGTCTCATGCTATTTCAAAGTTTGAATTCAGTAACAACCTACTATATTTCAAAAGATGTCTATATGTTTTAAAAAGAGAAGTACAT